GATTTTAACACAATCAGAAAAACAACAGCAAAGAATTTGGAGAACCCTCCGCTCCACCTCCCCCTCAAGCAGGAAACGTGGTACTTCGCAGCTCGGATCCAAACCCATAAACGAGAGCACACTGAGTGGCCCCCTTGTCCAGTCCGGCCAATTTTTAGTAGTTGCAGATTTTCGGATGAAATGAGAACTTTGACAGTTTCCAATATTCGGAATTGAAAAAGGAGTGGGCTTGCACAAAGCCTGCTCCTTCTCACCTTCTGCATCACTTTCATTTGAATCAATAATACCGTCACTGTTGGAGTTGGGTCGATCGGTTGTTGTATGTCTCAGGAACTCGAGTGTTAGACCGGGCTCATTATGAGCTGAAATGTTCAACAGTTCCCTGAGACATGCATTCTCTGTGGCCAGTTTTGCAATCAGCTGCAACAAATCGTACATCAGCAGTAAGTTAAATTAAAAGCACTCTTCAGACTAGCTATGTGGCCAGAACATATTGGCTAAACAAAAAATGGAAAAGCTACACCTGGCAGAAATTCCCTTCTCACTCTGAATGTCAAATAATTTTGCTTAATTTTCAAATTTCAAAGTTAAAAGAATTTTCGGAAGCACTTCAGGGAATCAGTCGGCTATTTGCAAATACGAGGGAACTAAAAGCTCCGCAACCATAGGGGATGGAAATTTTTTTAAACAGAGGGAACGCCAAAATCAAAATTTAAGTGCATGAAATAAAGTACCAACTGAACAGAATATTATTCCCTCGTTGGAAAAAAAATCCCCTTGAAATGCTCTTTACATAGGTGGATGCGTGAGGCAGGCAAAATTTTACCTCTTGATCATAGTTTGAGCCACTTTCGCCGGTCCTGAAGCAGTCATTCAACAATCTCGATAACTCGACAACCTTCTCGCTTACCGAACTTTCATACTCTTTGTTTTTCAACTGCAACAAAGTAAAGCTCGAGCATGATGAGATGGAAACCCCCCATTTTTCTTTTTTTTTTTTTGCAACAGCATTTCCAGGATGCAGCAATCCCCAGTAAAGCTATTTGTACCTTATTTGAGGAGCGAATAATCGCTGAGAGTTGCTGTGTAAGCCTGGTTACAATATATCGATGCTTCTGCATTACTAACTGCAAAGTCCGCTCACAGTCTTCGAGGATATGCCGAAGTTCGCTGGAAAAATTTTTTTGAATCGGCACACAAATCATTTGGATGCGTACGAGATAATGTTCTAATGGGATTTTGCTTAATCAAAGAATCACAAGGAACTCCGCTGCGCTTCACAAGTTCTCAAGCTTTGCATGTGAAAAATATAACAGACCTGTTTTCTTGTTTTAGTTGCAAAATCTGTCGATTTTCATGCTGTAAACCAGCAACAAGTACTTTGCGGCCTTGCATCCGCCAGCAATCATTCATATTGGCCACTTCTTCCTGGTACTGAAATACTTGCTTTTATTGTGGTATTTTATAGCAGTGCTTGAATGTGGATATTTGTACAGTTGCTCAAACTTTAAATATACCTCTTATATGCAAAATTTTCCTCCATTCCTATAACTTCCCTCTCACTCGTACCATCCTCCCTCCCTCCTCCTCGTCCCCAAACAGCTTACCTAATAAAAAAAATCCATTACACCATTCTTTTTCAAAACCATGCGAACTCACAAGCCGCATTTGAAACCGAAGATCATCAAAACACTTCGGATACTTTTACTGATTACTAAATTATAGCACATTTCTAGGTGCTGTCACGAAAAAAATGGATAAATTTTTACCTCCTTCATTCCAGAAATCTTTTCCTGGACAACCTGACTCTTCGCAAGAGCAATATCTGTGGCACGTTCGCGTGTTTGTAAATTGATAACAAGCTGACGCATATCAGACATCAACTGGCCGATACTGGTCGAGCTCATCAGCTGCAAAAAAAATCACACACAATAACTACTAGGATTAACTGTTTCAGAATTGTGCACTGGTATTGTCCAGTTATCAGCCCAGCATATGTTCGAGGAGCCTTTTTTCGCTGTCTGATCAAAGGGATTCAAAAAAACAACATTCATACACCCCTACTTATTAAAAAAAACCATTTTTTTCTGGTGGGACTGCTTTTCCTTTTATAGACAGAAGGACGGATTCGCATAAAAAGTGCGGCAATTTCGAGTATATACTCTACCAATCCTCAGACTTTTGCATGGAAATTACGTTTCGAGTATCTTCAGACTAACTCTTGAGGAAAAAGGAAAACCTAGACCTTCAGAAACAGGCTTTAATTAGTATACTGACGGCATGCTTAAAAGCCCTAACGATCAAACGCGATCATCCACTGCCCCTTCTCTTCCTTGATCGTTGCCAAAGAAGCAAACTGAGAGCAATTTTTAGCTGTACAAGTGTTGGATTTGCACAGAGGTTAGATTTCGAGCTGACAGCAACACTTCCAGATCTACACCTAGTCAAGCAGTCACGCTGCGAGCCAACAAAATTCATCTTCGAGTAATTTACCTTACTAAATTTCGAAGATTAATGTATAACGGGTAAGAGAGAAAAGTAGGCAAAAGTGAGGGACTCCAGAAAAGTCCCGAAATGCTTAGCGCGTTTCCATGAAATATTAGAAGGCAAGCATAGGGATCACAAGTTACATAGTGAAAGAAGGCATGTGAAAAAGCAGTCTGTGTTTCACCCCTTTAGCCGAAAAAAATACGGTTCAAACTCATGCGCTGTTTCAGAACAACATAACTTTAAAAAAACTCTTCGGAAAAGTGATCTATGATTCAGGGGATAAGCACGAAGTCAAAAAAAAAAAAAAGGTTTATCTTTGTTTATCTAAGGTTAAAGAAAAAATATAAGAAAGAATGATGAAAAACATGAAAAGAATTATTAAAGTAGGTGAGAAATGTTTCGGTCCATTAAGTCATATACATTTCTTACCCTTACCACAATTGGACCTAGTCAGTACGACGATTGTGGTAAAAAGTTTTTTAAAAGGGTAAGATGGAAGAGTAAATAAGTTAACTGTGTCACTGTTCGTTGCTTACTTGTTTGTTTGTTTACTTATACCAAAAAGTGCAGAGGGAGTTCAGAAACAATGCAAAACTGATTCTATCGTGAATTTTACTAAGTATTGTAATATTACTAAATATTGTTAATTAAATGTTGTAGATGGGGCAGTTTCTGACAAACGTGATAATAAAGCGACATCATCACAAGGTATCACACACACATATCGCATGCACCGTGACTAACTGCGGAAAAAAACTTACAAAACGGCCTGCAACTGATATTTTATTAACACTGACCCATCATAACAGCAGCAGTAGCAATCCCCACCCAAATCTGTAAAGAAACGTCCTTCAACATCACAGCAAACGCGAATGAACATTTTCGGAAGCGTTATCCATACAAATAAATCTAATAGAAATTTCACCAGACTATCAACTGCTGAAAACATAAAAAAATTTTATCACACAGAACGGCATAACCGAACAAAAACTGATCGGAGAAAAAACTCTCCACCTACTCTTCAAGCGTTTATCTCTTAGTCGCAGTAAAGCATCGACTACGTTTACAGCTAAGGGATGAAACAGGGAAGTGTTCTACGAAATGCCCATCGGTACATGCAGTATCATCGTAATATTAAGGACCTGCCGATGATGCTCACCGTACACCAGGAACATCTCAAAATGGTTAAAACCTTGCTAAGTGCTTCTGCTACTAGAAGAAATGCTGAGCACAGGCATTCGTTTTAGGAGACGAAGTAATTTTACTTTGACCAGAGCTTCAGCGCCTGATGATCAGTTTCTGTTCACTGAACATCCCACGTACAGTCAGTAACTTCTAAGCTCCTACACTTATGCAGTTTAAATCCACTAAGCACCGAGATCAAACATTCCAGGTACAATTAAGCTCTAAGCTGCATACATGCAAGCTCCCAGAACGCCCGCAGGAGGCGCAGATTACATGTATGCTCAGAAATTCATCAGCAGCATGCCCCTAAGCAGCCCACGGAAAAAAAAAAAAATCATTGGCAGTCTTGCCAGCGAGTGACTGCTGACGGAAATTACAACCACCTGGGCCAGAAAGGGTAAAAGCCAAGGGAGTTTTTTTCTACTTATAATCAGCGGAGAGAAACGGCGAAGGCGCGATAGGTTACAATATGAGAGAGTGAGACAAGACGTTTCGGTTCATTAAAATGTTGCTCCGCTACGAGGGAGGATCGGGCATGTTTGCTGGTACCATACCAATGCAAAAAACATCGATAGCCGGCGCTACATTCTTGAATCACTGATTACTTCGCTGGGGTACCAGCTAGCACACCCGATCCCCCTCCCCCTCCCGCCAATTCCTTCCATCACCTGAAACCCACCCCCATTCTGAAATGGATCGTTGGTGCGCCACACCCAGGGAAACTGTCGAACGAGTTCCACAACAAATGCATGCCTCCTGAAAGCTTACGAATGATTCTGGCATAAAAAGGGAAAATGCGCTAACGAGAGAGTGCAGCACTGAGGAGGAAACACCAATTGCAACATACAGTGCAAACAGAGAAGAGACTGTACGAACTAACGAACAGGCGCAGTACGCGTCCAGAATTCCTCGGGAAGTCCATTCTCGCAGGGAATTCAACACGGGTGGCGAGAGTCCAAACGTGGCATTTCCGCATAAGAAAGGAGGGTCTTTGTAAACAATAAACCAAGGGATGGATTCCCCCGGGGATTCTGGGTCCGTACTGCGCCCCTGTCTGTTAATTCGTAAAGTCACATACACACATCGTACATTCATAAACACACACATAAATACATGCTTACACACACAGGTACATATATACATTAACACAGACGTAAATACGTGGTTACATACACATGTGCATACACACATGTATGTATACACATGTATTTATGCGTTTATTTGTGCATGCAACCATGTCTATATGTGTGTATGTGTGTGTGTTTAAGAATACATGTACGTATCTGTGTGTGTAAGCATGTACATCTGCCCACCCCTTCCAGACCCTGTCTATTTCTACGAGAGCTACTAAAACACGGCTCGGCTCGGGCCGTCTCACACACGAGCTGAAAAAAATTTTTTTTCCGGAAGGCGGGTAGGGTTGCCCCACGGGGGATGGCGGTAGCTTAAATGTGGTGCCAGGGTAAATTAAAACCCAGGCTGGGACGCACCAGGCGGGCCCGTGCGATCATGCGTTTTTGCACCGGACTTGAATTACTCAGGTCATTAACCGTATGGATGGCTGTTGCTTTACACCTAACTTTTGCGGTCATTAGTATAAATCACCATAAATTTTGCAGAGCAAGTGTATAATTTACACTTAACAGTAGTTCTTTAAAAGTAACCTAGTTGTTCAGTGAGAAATTTTTTTCGCCAAGACTTTTAAGTGCCCGTACGTAAGAACCACGCATACCTTAAGGCTGAATTTGAAATACTTAAGTTGCACTTAGACAGGGAACTTCCCCCTAAAACTCCAACTTTCTAGCTTTTCTGGTTCCTGAGTTGAAATTTTCCCGCAGAAACTTTCTTACGCCCTTAAATGAGCACCACACATAGCTTGGGCTGAATTTGAAACATTTGTGTTGTAATTGGACAGGGAACATTCCCTCAAAATTTCAGCCTTCCAACTTTTCTGGTTGCCGAATTAGCAGTTTTCCCGCCAAAAGCCTCACACACCCGTACTTGGGTACTCCATGTGCTTGGAAAGCTGAATTTGAAATTTCTAAATTGCACTATGGATAGGGAACGTTGGCCTAAAATTTCATCCTTCCAGTTCTTCTGGTTGCCGAGTTAGTAATATTCCTGCAGAGACTTTCATGTGCCCTTACTTGAGTACCATGCGTAGCTTGAATTTGAAATATTTCAGTTGCAGTTGGATAGGGAACATTCCTCCAAAATTTCAGCTTTCTAGCTTTCCTGGTTCTCGAGTTAGCAATTTTTCCCCTAAAACTTTCATACGCCCTTACTTGAGTACCACGTACAACTGGGAGCTGAATTTGAATTCTTTAGTTAGTACATGCACAGGGAATATCCCTACAAAGTTTCAGCCCCTTAGCTCGTGTGGTTCGCGAGATCGCTTTCCCGCCAAAAAATTTGCATATTTTTTTAAAACTTCCGTACTCGGCACCTAGGCGTCCAAGAGGGATGAAATTAAAACGGGAGGGTCATGCATAGTAGGGGCACATACCCCCAAAGTTTCAGCCTTCTAGCTTTTCTGGGTCTCGAGTTGAAAGTGGGTG